ACTCTTCCAAGTGCAATTAAGCAGAGATGAAGGACACAGGGACTCGCGCTCCGCGTATCCGCGAGCATCGCCTCAGGACGGGAGGATCATTGCTTTCTGCCACGCGCCCTTCAGAACTCGAACTCCTCGTTTCGCTCCTCGTTTTATCCCAGAGCAGAAATCCCGTCCGCCTCCTATTGTTTCACGCGTGAGGACAGGGTTCATCGATCCTCCGACAAAAGGGAACGTGAACGAGCGAATGGATGGAGCGAGTAGGTATTTTCGCCTTTCACCAACGGGAAAAATGTTCCCGACCATTTCAAGTACTCATTCTCCTCTTTCCCCCTTTCTACACATCTCTTTTTTCCTCTCCGTAATCTCTGGCTACTATTCCTTTTTGCTTCCTCATAGAGGAAGCTTTGTGATGGTGAAAAAATTTTTTTTCGAGATTTTGATGGAAATAGGTTTAGAATGTTCTAAAATGTCGAAAAATCGTATTAGTAAAAAATGTCCGGAAGTATGTATGTATGTGTGTGTGTGTGTGTGTGTGTACGGATTTTTTGTACACGCATCTACTTCTACAATTTTTTAGATACCTGGTTGAAATTTTTAAAGAGTTAGGTGTGCGAGTAGAAACCTGCACATTGCTTGATTAGAGTTTTTAAGTGTTTAAGTAGAAACCTTCGCACACAAAGCTTCCTCTATGAGGAAGCCAACACAAATAAATACTGAAAATTATACATTGAAAAAAATAATGCTTCATCAACTTGCACACTTAATAACTATGAGGAAGCAATGTGCAAGTTTCAACTTGCACAATTTCATCTTGTTTTTTCCATCCCTCTATGCCGAGATAGTCGCGCGCAAACGCATCTTCGCTCAGCACTATCGTTTAACACTTCACAAAGCTTGTAACGGACTCGCGAATTTTCTAACTTGTCATTTAACTGAAAATAATTTGAACTAACCGATTGTATATTCGTGCGTCATAAAATGCGATAACAGAATTTATTTCAAACTTGAAGATATAAAGATTGAAAGGATAAATCCGTGGAATATAAAATTCTGCGTTTTCACGCTTATCTCTTACGGTATACTTTTACTTTAATAAACTTGCACATTTCTTCTCGTGTACTAGCTTGTAGTCGGATTGTAGCAAGACGTGTAACCTTCCATTCCTTCGAAGGAAGAAACTTCTACATCAGACATCCACAAGAAAGTTGTCCGTAAACTTCAGACTCAATGATAAGGCTCGGCGTTGTACATTTTATTATTCCCAATGCCAACGAGAAGGTATTTCGATCTCAAAGGATTAAGTCTATTCAGTCCTGTTTCGCGACCTAGCCTTAGTTCTTGAAACGTATGTCAAGTTGTATCCAGTCTGCCTCGCGTCTTCATGGTTTACAGAATGAATTTTCTGCCACTGCACGGACTAGCTTTTACTTTATGACGAGCGAGCTATGTAATTTTGTTCGGTCGTCCTCAAGCGTCGCGATATATGTATGTATATATATGTATACATATACACACATGTATATGTATATATATATGTATATATATATATCGTTCTTCCATCTCTCTTCATATGAAGATGAGTCGATATTTTATACGCGTGTTGCACTCATAAACCGTAAAATCCATTTAATTTTACGCGCACTCGTAAAAACGTTCTTTGAGCGGCACGCTGCTATACTCGGCGAAATAATGCCTTTCGGATTATTCACGTATTATCGTGCGCGAGAGCGACGGCGATGGACATATATAATGCAAAAGATTAATGTCTCTTGAGACAAAATGAAATTTAACCGACCGCAGCCGCGAGATAAACGTGCGCACAACTTGGATTTTTCTCGTCTCCGTTCATATATTTTTCATTACCGAAAGCACAAAATAATATCTCTCGTATCTGGAAAAAAAAGCTACTAAATTGACATTATTAAATAGAATTTCTACCTTCTTGAATATAATATCAATCTGCAAATAACACGCCTGAGAATATGCTTTTTTCTTTTGCTTTCCATCGGTATTATTCAGTAAAAATAAAAAAGAAACGTCACATTACGTTCTGCCAGTTTAGATTTTTCAAATAGCTAATTTCAAATTTACTTCTTAATATTTTTAAATAATATCCATATCTTTTTCATTTTTAAAAGCAGAAAATAAGATCTCATTGTATCCGTAAAAATGTTACATAATTGACATTATTAAATAGAATTTCTCTCTGAATATATAATATCAATCTACAAATAACACGTCCGAAGAATACGCTTTTTCCTTCCCGTCGATGTCATTCGATAAAAATAAAAAGGTCACATCCCGCCGAGTTAAGCGTAAGATTTTTCGCGTAGCTGATATTTCAAATCTACTTCTTCTTATAATTTTTAAAGACAAAGTAACGGATTTGATATAGCGGATTCAAATAAAAGGACAAGACGGAATGAAGATCAGAGCTGAAGATTGTCTCGTAAAGCTCTTTTACTTTTCTTATGAATCTCCACGAGTGCAATATTTCACTTTGAGTGACCGCTCAAAGAAGGACAAAAATAAGAGATACCTAGTCCCGCTATCTTCCGTTGTTGAATGGACGAACATTTCACTGATTCATCTACGCCACTCACCTTTCTTCCACGTAGAACGACCCCTTCAAGATGATCATCAAGACGGAAACCATGAAAATCCGTGGGTTTCTCTATGCAGGTAGGAATCCATGGAGATCAACGGTCTTACGAACCGCGGGGTGAAAATCCTCAAGAGCGACCGGCGACGGTAAAGCGCGACGCCGCCGCCGCTCGCGCATCAATTAACTTAATAACGTGATTATCGGAAATTCGCTCGAATCCTCGAGACACTCCCCCATAGGGAAGACGCAGTCCTTTTCCAGTACATTAACTTCCGGAAAGAAGATCCGGAGCGATTCGATTTCTTCTCGTTCGCCGATCATTAGACTCCTTAACTCCATCTACTTAAAGTCACCCCGCCCCGTCTCGTTAAGCTGCTTACACCCGTCGCTACAGGCGATGTTCTCGCGTTTGCATGTAACCGAGCGAAGGAAATTCATTACACTATTCGCGACACGACGAAGGGCTGTAGGACGGCATCGAACCGGCGAATACAGGATTATTACGTCGCCGACGAAAAAATTGCGCATTTACTGAATTAATAAAACAGTGAGACACTTTTTTTTCCTCTCACGACGTAATAAGTCCTACGTAAAAATTTTCTCGCTGCAGGCTAATTTAAGAGATTAAATTTCATGAATAATAATTAACAATTGTAAAAAGAACTTTTAGTCGACTGTCATAAAGTTTGCACGCGGGGGAATATGTATAAGTAAGATACACGCACGGGTTAAACCCTTGCCCTTTTCTCTCGCCGATAAGTGACCCCATTATTTTCTCGATACGAGGAAGGGAAAGCTCGAATGTTATCCCCTCTCTCTCTCTTAATATCATCACCCGTAAATCTGCCTCTCGCATGCTGCAGCTCAAGGGAAATATTATTTCGCTTCGTTTGTTTGTCGATCAGCGAAGCATAAATCATACTGCTGTTTCAATGCAGCAGGTTATTTGAGATTTCTCGAATCACGATAGCCAGGTTTGGAGAAATGACTCACCGCTTTTCATACCTTTTATTAATCGTTAAGCGATTAATTCCGCTGGAATTTCCTTCATTACACAGAAAAAAATGTTAAACAAAACTTAAATTAACGCATTCGTTGTTTCGTATATACGCAACAATCTATAATTTTCTTATAAGAATTTTAACATTTTATTTCAACTTCTTTCTTGATTGAACTATATAAAATTATGTTATTCAAGCGATATAATTTTATCTCAAGATTTCCACGTTGAAACTTTATTTTCAAATAATAAAATTATATCGAACTTAATTCTCTATTATATTTTCATCAGATTTTTTTGTATCGTTTTAATACCCGGCTGTTACAAAAAAAGGAATGTCAAACGTATTCTCGGTTCTTATGGATGCTCGAATAATGTGAACAAACGGCGTGGATCTCAATGGTTTTATTGATACGTTTTACAATATTCGTGGATATAATTTCTTGACAAGGCTCTTTATAACGAGGCCCTTTTTTTTGAGTTAACAATCTTGAGCGAGCGTCGAGGAAATGCGCGTCCGCTTTTTACATTCAGAGATATTATAACATTTATAACACGCACTTATGACATTTATCAACGTGGGGGTTCGTGTAACGTAATCCGCAAAAGCACAAATCGAAACTGCGAAAACTACCGACGGGCGGCGGAGTCAACGGATTTATAATGATCGGAAGCGTAGTGGAATCCTCTGCTTTGCGCCTGCAACTCTCGTCGCGTTACACGGGGTTATCGATTCGGATATGCTTTCTGACCAAACGCGAGTAACCGCCCTTTTTTTTCCTTTTGTCGACAAAGAAACAGAGAGATAGAATGTAAAAGTTTAATGCATACGCGTTTGCGGCGGAATTGTTAACACTAATCCCTCCAACGTTTTTTCCGCCACTTAATTCCTCCAACCATGCACTTTCGCCTGCCTCTAAGCCATAATAGTGGAATGTCAAATTTTTTTTAACGACAAAAATATTTTAAATACGCTTAAGGGGATCCTAAAGCCGTCTGTAATACCGGTTTTTTTCTTAACGCATATCTTTTTATTGGCTTTATGGATTTAAAAATCTTTCTCCAAAGTTAAAGTACGCATCAAAATCTAGGTCATGGTGGTCGAATTTATATCGAAAACAAAAAAATTAATATTTTTTGTTAATTTTTGGTATACACGACGACAATATTTGCTTTGTACAAAAATTTCACAATAAATATCCACAAAATTAGACCGGCATGATCTAGGGACAACATGTAAGAACAATATCGTGCAATTGGAACTAAGAATAAAAGCCTACAAAAAAAGATTAATTACAATGAATGCAATATAACCTATAACCTTGTCTATCCTTGTCTATTATCATTGTCTATACAAGGACAGATATAGAATTTGGTTGATAATACACAGACGGCTTTAGGATGTCCTTTACACAAAAATACATTTCTCACTTACACACAACACTGACGTAATCCTCCAACCATGCACTTTCGTGTCCCAACGCGATTTTGATTGTTTGTCGTTTCGAGAACAAATGAGTTATGGCTATGAAATTTCTTCCTGATGTTCCTTAATTACTGCAACAACTTTTTTTAGGGATGGGGGGGTGGGATTATCTCACGATCGTTGGTTTCCCGGAACGAACGACCGTTAGAAATGCGTGGGACACGAAAGTGCATAGTTGGAGGGATTAGGATTAAAGGATTGGGAATAACATGCGCTCGGCTGTATTTGCCCAGGTGACATCAAACATCGAATATTCTATAGACCGTAAAGTATTCGTCGCTTTAAACCAGGGGGGGAGAGCGAGAGCAAGGTCGTGCCAATCAGCTTGATGCCAATCATCGTCATCGGTGAATTTATGTCTGCAACACAGTAAACAACATTTAAATGTGTAAAACACAAAACGTGTCCCTACAAATTGAACTAAATTTTTCCACTCTTTGCTAACTAAACTTTTCAATATTTATCCTCCGTCTTTCTATTTTTCGTTATTTTTCCGCGCGTTAAACGTGAATCCGGCATTCTCTTCGAAAAAACTCTGTTTAATGTCTTGTCACGCGTAAAACCGGGGGGGGGGGGGGGGGTCATAAAAAATGCAATCGCTCAAAAGCCTCTTAAATATTCATTTTTCCTTTAAACCGCGGGATCGACCTCCAGAACTTTTATCGCTACCGGAAACGTTTAAATAATTAGCAGGATTTTATCTCCGAATCTAACATTTCGACGGACTTTCTCGGGGGATTCTTCAGCTCCTTCGGTTCGGTTCGGTTCACTGCAGTTCACTGTTCTCTGATCTCTCTCTCTCTCTCTCTCTAATTCCTGTAGGAGGTGGGAGGCTTCGAAAAGTAGGCCACTTCGTGAAACAAGCGGAAGACTTTTCTCGTTCGGGAAAGCAGAATCGAGGCCGGCCGGCGCGTACTTCGATCCTTCCCTTGTCTCTTCCTTGAGCTCGCTTCTCGGCTATCTCCCTTCTTTTTCCTCTTATCCGTCTTTTGATTTCTGGCTTCTTCCCAACGCCGTTGATCGACCTTCTCGTCATCGATCTGTGTGCCCCATCGTCGAATTTGCATATCTCTCGCCTTCATCTGCGCTCTCGTTAAATCGTTGTATGTAAAACACTGCATTTTGAATATTCGAACGTTGCAGTGCGTTCTTGCAAATAATCTTTTTTTTTAACCAGATTTTACACACATTATATTAAAGCGACATGTTTTTCTATCACCTACCTGCGAGATTTTTCAACAGACGTCCCAGTTCTCAAATAATCATGGATACGGTAAAAAGTAAATAATTAAAAAAATCGGCACGTTCTTTTTATTTATTTAAGTTGGAGCGCAGCGTTATCTCAGTAGGTGATAACGCTCTACACGCATAAATCGGAGAAACAATAAACGGGAGAAAGAATTGCGTATCATATGAAAAAGTAAAAATACATAATATTTAAAATTGGAAATATGCTGGTAAGATAAGCTTATCCGTTTTTAATCTATTTAATTTTTAAAAATCCCTGATGTATTGTGCCGCGGGACGAGATTATAAAATCAACTGAAAACACAAAGAAAATACAGGGAAATTTATTTCTTCGAAATTAATCTGAAATATCGCGTTCGTGTAATATTAAAATACTTTACGTGTAGAAACTGTGTGTAAATTATCTTCGCTATTTTCCACTACTTTTTTTTGCAGAACTCTTTTATTATAAGACTCCGTTTTTCACCTTGGACATTTGTCAGAGTTCCAATTCATTTCCACTTTGCTCTATTTATTGAGATAAGGTCTGCGAAGCGTTTCTTTTGGCAGACATCCTGCGTACCATTTATGAAAATGTCAACTCCATATACATTTGGAAATCCTTGCCAAGCAATTCCCATTTATCACGGCGGCAGCGGCGACAACTTTTTTGGACATATCTTTGAAAATTACGGCACTCAGCGTTTATCCGTTCTTAAACTGAAACAGCGCGATAATCGATACCTGTCTGGGAGCTTCTCAAAAGCTAATTGTGCGAAACGATGAATGTGGAGTGGCGCGATTCTCGAGATAAGGTAAAAAAAGAACTATCGCTCCACATGCATTATAGTACTATAATTAGATTTATATTCATTTTAAATTAATTTATTCATTTAATGTGAGCGGGTTTTATATTGCAAGAGGACGCCAATGTGCTATTTTTCCGCAGTATATCATTGTCAGAAAGGATATAATTATAGCCGCAAATGTGATAATAACACGAGAGATATTTTACAAATATTCGAGGTAAAATATCAAATTTTTCAAAGCACAAAGAGCAAAATTATCATTTTACAGACACGAAGGTAAAAATCGTGATGGAAAAGTCGTTTTTATTCATTGACCGTATTATATTTTTAGCTCATTTACAAGTAATAAAAGTCGCCGGTGGAATAGAAGCGCCTCGTCTGAAATTAGTTTCGCTTGAAACACTTTTCTCGAAGTCTATTAATAAATAATAATGCGGGGGATAATGACAATAAGCAGCTTTCGTAGTCGTCACGCCGTCGTGCAACGTGACCGATTCTAATCCCGCGGGGAATAGTTTAGGTGACTCCGTGTATTGACAGCAAATCGCTGGTATTGACGGCGCAAATAGAGTCGTTAATATCGGCACAGAGCTTAGCCGAGATCGAATCGGAACGACGGAGATATCGGATTACCATTACGTTGCTCACGGAATACATCTACTTGATTAAGATTTGTTTGCACTAGTCAACGAGCGGCCATTTTTACGAGCGTCCGAGAGCCGTCGTCGTCGTTCTCGAGCGGCGCCGTCGATTACCGGATCCGCTTATCCTTTTCTAAACGTCTCGTCCGTAAAATACGGCATTTTCGTCCGACTGCGCAGCCAAACAGCTTGGAACTGCCGTCCGCTTGTACGACACGGCCGCGTCGTGTCATTCTTGTGTCATTTCGCAGTTTATACGCGTCAGGATACATCCTCGGAATGACTGGACTCAAGTCATTTAACAATATCAAGTAAATGCATCTGATAACTATCAATAAAATATTTAAAAGATTAATTTTTATTATCTTTGTCTATTTAATTATTCTCACCTAATTACTGGACTGATTTAGAAGTGCGCACCCTTATTTACTCGAAAAGGTTGATGCAAATCATTTCGGGTCAAATCTACCTTGGCCCATCTGTTTAACGGACCGCGAAGCGAAGTTAAACTGATAATTTCAAGCGGCATTGATAATTCCGACCGGTTCAAACGAAACATGCTTATATAATCTCAAATTCGGGCCATTGTGGTGTAAACATTAAATATTATAGCGGATCAATTCCAATTAAATACCACGTTGCAGATCCTAAAAGGCCCGTCATCACTGCGTTCGGGATGCAATAAATGCAACGCGTCGACATCGGTAACTTTTTTCCGCGTTTGTCCGTTCAGGGCGGAAGGAAGGGGTGAATAGAATAGGTGACCGTCGCGGGGGTAAGGGATCAAAGAGCAAACCGTCACAGTGCGAAACAACACACGGCACCGATAACAAAGAATGGTTAATCGAATTTCCGTCGAGCCGTCAATCTCCGGTAAAAGCATCTATCTGATTAAGGTTTGTTTGTCACCCGCGACGTGTCACAATGCGGTTTTCCGAGGAAGAGAAAAAAAAGTACCTTCTCTCGACGCGCCACGTAAACGATGACAAGGCGATAACGAATCAAAAATCGAATAGGACAGAATTTTGTTGACGTAACACCCCAATTTTCTTTTATGCGAAACAGAGATCTTACGTAGGTTGTAAAGAAACTTTGCCTGTAAATGTGGAGAAAAAATGTAGGCTAAATCAAAGAAGAATTGCGCGGCATAAAGAAGAACCCAGTTTAGATTTATCATTCGATCTTAACATAATCCCGGGCAAACAAGGAACAAAAAGAACTAGAAAATATAGTAATTTTTTTGCAATATTCTTTCTTTCTCTTGCTTAAAAAAATTATTGTCTCACTAAATGTGAATTCTATCCGTTTAATATTCCAATAATAAAGAAACAAATTGATCGCGACAAAGTAAACTTAAAATATTTTTTAAGTATCTTTAGAATTGTTCGTTATTGCATAAAAAAGTCATGTAAGACGAGAAGCACAAGAATATTAGTTTATATCTATATTTTTACGTAATAGTTTCTTGCAGTCAATCTCTCTGTGCAGTTAATCTCTTAAAAAGTATTTATATGAGAAATTTTTGTGATTATTATTATGCTCGACCAGATTATCCTGCTACTGCCATTCACTCGAGGTATTCGCGCGATTTAAGGAATCGGCTTTAAATGCAAATTTTCCATTCCACTCCGCACCCGTTCCCAGCGTTTTTTTTTTTGTACTTAACATTAAGTAATGGCAATGCTTTGCGGTACAAGATTGCGTTCGTCGCTATATTTTTGCCCGCTCGCTTTTCCCTCCGTTTTATAACCCCTTTACCGATGTCCGTTTGTAGATGGGAACAGACGAAAATGGCAGTGAGGGTAAACTGGCTGTGAAAACGTCACCGTGTTAATGGCAATACACCACGCTGCGTCCAGGGAGAGGTCGGGGAAAGACCGGGGGGAGGGAGAGGGATGAAGAGAAGCGAGCAAGGGGAAAAAGAGGAAAATTTTGTTACGTATCCGCGTAGCCGTGCCGAGCTGTGCCGAACCCGTAAGCCCGGTAAGTAAATCGAGTAACGTCGTTAAGTGCCGGCACGATTCCGCTCGTCATCTTCCGAAGAAAATTACACATTGCTTCGGGAAAGGGCAGAACGCGCGCGGAGATAACGACGATGTCGTGATATATCTCCTGAGGATCTCCCTGATTCTCACCATCAGGATCCACCGATTAATCCTCGAAATTCAATTTCACTTTTCCATATTCTTAATATCGTCCTTGATCTTTCTTTTTTGTCATTACTCGCTTAAAAGCCGTCGGATTTTTACATTACCTTTTAATTTAACTTTTTGAAAGCAGGAAACAAAGATAGGGCAGCGTCGAAAGGCAAGAAATATTTTCCAAATAATTAAATTACTTACTAAAATAAGTAAAAGAAACACGGGTTTAAACGTTTTTTGAATAGCGGACCGATATTTCGAGAGATAAAAATTGGAGGTGAAAAAGAATATATATATATTGAGGTCTTTTGCGCAAGGAGCAATCGCAATATTCGCAACAGTTTATTCGCCAAAGTTTATGATTGATATGAAATATCTCAAAAGGGAGCAGGTCGGTGTATTTTTTGAAAGCTTACGGTATTGGCAAAAAGAAAGATGGTTGTTTCTCACCTAAAGAAACCCCAAATAAATTCTTACCTAAAGATTATTGCCGGAGTTGGTAGCTCTCGTAGTCTTCGTCGGTGGTCCCAGCCGATTGTTCACCTCCGCCCGCGGCCGGCAATAAATGATCTTGCGGAAGGCTTTGCGGAAGTGATCGCTCAGGAAGGCGTAGAGGAAAGGATTAATGCAGCTATTAGTATAGGCGAGGACATGACTCACTATCTGGACCATGATCATCGCCGTGGTAAGCGGAAACACCTCCAGGGACTTGGTCACCAGTATCACCTGCAATGTGACGACAACGCGGACGACATCGTGGATGACGGAGTATCGAAAAAAAGGGAAAAGAAAAAGAAAAATCGGTTCCCTCCAGAGAGATAGATCTCTTTACCTGTATGGGGCACCAGCAGACGGCGAAGACGCCGACGACGACGAAGACGAGCCTGGTGGCCCGTCTCCTACCGCGTCGGCTCTCGGCGCTGTCGCGCGCGCTCCGCCACAGGCTGATCAGCATTGACATGTAAAAGATGCATATCAGCACCAGCGGCAGCACGTAGCTCGTCAGGAAGAAGGTCATCTGGAAGACGGTCCAGTTGTACTGCTCATTCAGGAACCGGCAGACCGTCAGATTTTCCGACTGCCCGTTCGGCTTCTGGAACACGTAGGTGACCTACGAATGCGCGATGCATCGACGAACGACGAGCTGGATTCGCGAGGTCGTGGCGTCGGGGCGCCGCGCGCGGCTCGCTTACCTCGCCGTGAATTATGATCGCGGGCATGGACACTGCCAGGATCAACGCCCACATGATGCAGATCGCCTGGATGGCGTGATTCTCCGTCCTCCACGACATGGACGCGATCGGATGGACCACTGCTAGATATCTGCGAGCAATTTTCCCTCTCAGCGGATATTTGATTAAACATTACACACAGAAAAATATTATTCTACAGCCAAGGAAAGCAATTATTTATTTTATTTTATTTGTTTTAAGTAATAGTTTTCTTCAACAAAGAATATTTTCTTAATAACAGTTTTAAGATATACTTGGCACAAGTCTTAGAAGAGCTCATCACTTTGTGGTCAAAATAAGAATTTATTCTTCTTTCAAGAATATTATATATTTACTTGCAGGTTGCAGAAGTTAATTCTCGTTTCGAGCGTCAGCATTTTAAAAATCAACCTGCAGATAAAAGGCCTCGCCTTTTTTGCTCTCGTATTCGCTTTAAGGGAGAAAAAAGTTAAGGCACGAGGGCTGAAAGGCGCCTGCTTTTGCGACGTAGTTTATTAGTATCGTTCTGAAAGTAGGATGCAGAAAATGGAAGATCGTTTAACGGTTCTTGCACGTAAATTTTTAACTTGATGTCGATGGACAAGATATTAACGAGGATGTGGGAGAGGGTTGCGAGCATTAATATTAGAATACCGCGGTAGTTTTTAATAAAAATGCCTCTTTTTTTATATCCTCTCGTTTAAACGAGACAACGTCGATTTAATCACGAAACCGGCATCATTATTCAACACTGCATTATACATTATTCATCAAAACGACATATATGAGATTAACAACGCGATAGTTTGATCTCGCGATGCACGATAATATGTTATCACAAGTAATGTTAGCAATTTGTTTAAGGGCCTGAAAGGCGCCTGCTTTTGCGATGGTTTAGTATCGTTCTGAAAGTAGGATGCAGAAAATGGAAGATCGTTTAACGGCTATTGCACGTGAATTTTTAACTTGACGTCGACGGACAAGTTATTAACGAGGATGTGGGAGAGGGTTGCGAGCATTAATATTAGAATACCGTGGTAGTTTTTTAATAAAAATACCCTTTTTTTATATCCTCTCGTTTAAACGATACAACGTCGATTTAATCACGAAACCGGCATCATATTATTCAACGTTGCATTATACATTATTCATCAAAACGACATATATGAGATTAACAACGCGGTAGTTTGATCTCGCGATGCAAGATAATATGTTATCACAAATAATATTAGCAATTCGTGTAATGGCATCTCGTGAAGCTGCATCTCCGCGACCGGAGATTGAATAATGAAAATTGAAGTCGCTAATTTAATCGAGTCCTCCGTTACCAGGGGAAACGTATACGGGCGCGTTCGCCAGATGAAATATCGCCAGCAGATATTGGAGCTAGGCGACGAATGTCTACAACGGTCTCTACGCTTGAAATTGGCACGTTCGAATTGCCTGAGATGAATGTATCAAACGGCGTGTATCCCGCGCGTAGTCTCGCAAAACCCGTAAGCATCGCGATTCAAAGCGCAACAATGAATCAAATGTCAAACGAAGAGCCCGGGGCGTTTTACAAAGCTTCAGGAAAGGTCCGTGCTGAAAGGCTGCGAGGGGCAACTCAGGATAAAGATAACAGGAAAGCTTCCGAGGATAAAGGACAACAATATAAGGAAACTATTGCACGCGCGATATATTTCTTTTTCGCCTTGTTATCATACATCACGGCGAGCGGAAAATTCATATTATCTCATCTTTTAGTCAAAATAAAACATATTCTTGGAATAATCCTTTAACCTATTTGCAACGGATATCTGCAATGTCAGGAGATCTGATTTTGACATAATTTTAATAAAAAAAAAAAGAATTATCTGGTAAAAATTGATGGCAAATTTATTTAATATCAAGATAAAATAAACACAGAAAAGTACACACTACCTGCAAGTAAATATTACTTGTTCCAAGTGTTTGATAATTTTATATATCCGCAAATCTACCATAAAGTCATCACAAGCATCACATTTACTCAAAATATATTCTAGATCTTATTGTTAGCAAGACCAGTACTTCAAACAAGACATTCAATTAATACGAGAAGTGCGGTTTACAGGGTTTACTTACCATGTACAGTCTACGGAAGAGAAGCATCATGTACTTAAATATATAATATTCTTGAAAGAAGAATAAATTCTTGTTTTGATCACAAAGTGATGAGTTCTTCTAAAGACTTGTGCCAAGTATATCTTAAAACTGTTATTAAAAAATATTCTTTGTTGAAGAAAACTATTACTTAAAACAAATAAAATAAAATAAATAATTGCTTTCCTTGGCTGTAGAATGATATTTTTCTGTGTGTAATGTTTAATCGAATATCCGCTGAGAGAAAAGTAGGCAAAACAAAAATTTTTGAAAATAAAGCACTTGCGTACGCTCGAATCGATTATTATTTCGCGTTACTCTGCTACACATAATTTCTATCGACAAAATTCGTAATCTATAATTTTTATTTTCTGTGAATCGCTCACGTTTATATCAAAATCAATTTTGATCAGTTAATTTAATAAAGCGAGGCGAATGCTTTTACTTGTTGAATGACATACGTCGAAGGAAAGGAAAAAAAATTTAAACTGTTTACTACAGCATTTGCGTCTAAAAAAGCTGGAGCAAATATGTGACTAACAATAGCCATTCCCTAGGTGGATTTTACTGTTTTTCATAAAAAGATAATCTGCCGTTTGAGAGATTCTTCAAAAAGCATTTATATTTCTATAAAAGCATTTCGCATGCTTCAAATACACAAAGTCACTAACATATTACGAATTGTGTGTTGCGATTCTATTCGCTCTTGCATGATTGCAGTATTGATTCTGCCATGACAGCGAAAACAAGCAATATTTACGTAAAAATTCTTCTAACAAAGAAAAAAAAAGTCAAAATACAGAAAATACCTTTGCCCCTCGTGTATTCTTATTTTAAAAGAGAACAAATGCTTCTGCATCTATCTTCCGCCAATAGCGAACGTCTCGCTTTATTCCGGGTTCGTATATCATTTTTGTTCCGTACTTGTTGATAGCCATTATTGTCTGCACGTCAATACATCTCTGGCGGGCCTTATCTCAATTTTTACGCGCGACTTACTCCTCTATCACAAACTGTTTCGCGACAAAGTCTAATTCTGAAAGTTCGCGTGCAGGCGAAGCGCTATGGCAGAGAACGCGGTCGATATCGTAAACAATGATCTTGGCATACCAACCTGTCGAGACTCATGAGGACCAGGGTGTACACGCTCGCATAAGCGGTGACAATGATCAGATACTGTACGGTCTTGCACCAGACGTTGCCGAACGGCCAGTACGGCAGGACGAAGTCGGTGGCCGTGAACGGTATACAAAATATAACGAACAGCAGATCGGCGACGGCGAGGTTGATAATGAGGATGTTCGTGGTCGACCTCATTCCAGGATTCGCAGCCACGACCACGACCACGAGCAAATTCCCGGCGAAACCGAGAATGCCGATTATACCGAAGAACAATGGCACCACCACAATTATGATGCTGTGCACCACTTCGTAGTCGAACCCCAATTCCTGGGTATAAGACTTACAGGCCCCGACTTCGCCCGCGAGCGAGGTAAGCGAGCTGCAGTTGAGGAACGTATCGTTCGCGTTAGTCGCGTTCGCCACTTCCGGCCTCATGTTCGAATCTGTGGTCCTCGCGATCGACCCGCGATCTCGTTCGCGTTACAGTTCAACTTGATTAGGCCGGCTTAACCGAGTCGGATGAAATAGGAACTCTGCGGTGATATATATTACAGCGATAATAAAGTCAACGTGGATCGCTTTAGGAGAATTCGCGGCCTCTGTCGGTGCCGAGGATACCGAGAATATCCTTTCTTCTCGCGAAGCTCGTTTTCCTTACCGAACAGCATCGAGTGTTCGCAATTGTCGATTCGGTACATAGCTCGTCGTTCCTTTTTTTTTACGGCATTATCCTTTACTTCAAATTTTTCTTCAAATTCTGAAAAACCTCAAGAATCGAAAGCTCCACTTTTCGCATGAGAGAACGTTAACATATATTATTATAATACGATATTTTATTTTAATTCTGTCTTCGGTTTAAATTACTGAAAATGCACATAAAGTATCGGTCCCCCGCGATAATAATCTTGATAATAATTTCATTTATTCATTTGGCTGCGTATGAAGGCGTAAACAGCGCGATGCTTATTGACGTTTTATCGAACGCCGCGAACCAAATTGAGGAACGCCGCGCTAAGAACTTCGATCGACGCAGCGGATCAACACGGCGATACGATAATCGATCTCTAAATATATAACTTGGGTCATAAACTTTCCAACATTTGTTTACCGCCGCACGATTGAACTTGACAAACTAAAGTTCGCGCAAATCACGCCGTGCACTTCGTCCGCAAGTGCGCTGACCAACTTCTTCGAATAAAATGATCGTAACAAGTACATTATATTCCGCCTTGATAGAGTGTCATTTATCTCATTGAAAATAAACGTTTGGCAACCGACATTGTGAGCCAATTTAAAATAGTCTCTAACTGTCTTGTGTTTTCAGTTTCATATGTTGGCGCACGTTAAAGAAGCGACTTTACATCAAACATTCAAAGCTCTGTAAGCCACAATTGCACTGAATATTTCGAACGAATGTTAAAGTAACACAAAATTACGATAATCGAGTTTTTAAATTGCAGTAGGCATCACGCCTCGCGTTTCATATATTCGCCGCTTACCGCCAAATGAGAAGTTGAATTGACGAATTGAAGTTCGCACTCACTGTCTGGAAAACAATCTTAAAAATTCGTTTTCTATCATCGATCGCTAAAACGAGGCGCTGAAAAACGCGGCAAAACAAAATTGAAAATTCGCGGTTTGGCAATTCGCGCCTCGACACTTTCGACAAATCTCTTCAATTGAAGAATAGCTTCACCATTGAAAATGGCACTTCTAGCGAAGTTGATTGATAAAGACGTTGGTAGCGTATTGGCTGAGTCGCGGGATGTATCCGCGTACCATCGCCCACCAGCTGGCGATAAACCACTGCTAGCTCCGGGGGTGGTTTTGTACTGAGGATCTCCGATGGTCGACAGTGCGGCGCGGCCAGGAATGGATGGGGCTAGATATACGCGCGAACGAAACGGGGGAAATTCGCGGCGCCATCTGCTACGCGTGTCGATGTCCCGAAATAGGGATGCTTACACACAAAAAAGTACATACATAATTAAGTACATATAATACAAGGTAAAAAGATACTTATTTTATAGACAGAGGATTTTAGAAAATTAGAGCAAACCGAGGACGATCATTAAGAATTAACTATCACAGTTCTAAATGTAAAATATGTAAATAGATACTCCCTTTTTTTATTTAAAACACTATAATTTATTTCTATTGTTCCTATTACTTAATTATTTATTTCCGACTTTTGTTGATCAGTTTGCTCTTTCTTTCACTAAATATTAGACGTTAATTATATTGTTATGCTAATTGAAATTATGCCTATTTTTATGCCTATTTTTTTCAAGTTTATTAAATATTACTTTGACACTACGCGGTGGTTAAATGAATAAAATATTCTTTAATTATGGTAGAATTAACAAATAACACACACACACACATCATATACAATGTTAAATTTAAATGTTAGATTTCTTAGTTAGTTTCTCGTTAGTCTTCGTTTTTAAAGAAATGTGTTTATAATTTGGCGAAACAATTTTTATCGCTCAATTTGTTCTTTCTGTAATTGTATATGTCACAGAGTCTAATATATCACCAATTTATTTTTATTCTTTTCGCAATATACAAGATGAGCCTTACACGTGTGTAATACGTTTTAGTTGATCAGAGAAGGGAGAGATAAAACAAACGATTATTTGACATATAACAGAACGGACGGAGTATATCCACTATAGACGAGGGTTAAAATGTAATCATTCGCTGTATAAATGCCAAAGCACTCAAGACCTAAATTCCGAATCATTATAGGCATTTTCGCAGATTTACTAATTAGTTAAGACGTATACTAATAATATTACTTTAATAATTACAATTATTATTATAACAGTGTATAAAATGTATAAAAAGCTTGGACCCGTTATACGATAATTTATTCTTTATAGAATTTTAGAGATAGAGAAGATAATTATCTTCTTATCACAAACTTGAAACTGTAGTCTAATTAAGTTTCAACAAATAAAAGAGCTAAGGCAAATTTGATTTACTCCTTACTTAAACCTAAATAAAATTTATCTTTATTTTAATCAGTATTTTCTAGAATTTTAATTATTATTAATAAATAACAATCTATATATATCTTATTAGAAAGTAATTTGACAAAGTTTTGAGTTTTTTTAATGTTATTTCGAAATTTTGTTTATATAGATTATTATCAGTTAATTTAATATAGGGGAGACTGGGGCTATGTATCCACACTTTACGCTTTTTTCAAGTTTACTAAAAAACTAATAAAGATATTTGGCTAAAATTTTAATGGTATAACCTTTCAACCTTGCTATTAAAAAAAAAAAAACATAATTAGAATCGTTGATCTTTTAACATTTTAAAGAGGCGAATTTTTTAAGTGGACAAGTCAAGCGTAGACAGATAGCCCCATATGCGGGGCTATCTGTCCACATTCGAGGGGCTCTCTGTCCACATAATAAAAAACACATTATTTATATTAATTTTTATACTTATTTATAATATTATTTATTATTAATATATAATATAATATTGAAAAAACTGCCTAGTCGTTGGAGTCAGAGTAGTAGGCATTTTGTGTAGATTTTTTGACAAGTTTCCTGCGTAGAGCTGACTTTTCTCTATATACGGTGGCATCAAACTGATTTTGAGTCCGTTGCAAAATCAATGTAATGAGTTTCTTTTGTCCTCTCAATTTTTTAATTTTTTTTTATTTGGGGCCTTTACTTTATCCTCGGCAGCGTTTGAAATAGAAAATATTCAATAATTTAAGACAAACTTATATATTTAACTTGACGTGTATTTTAAAAATAAAAATTTGGTAACGATTCTTGAATCGCAGGATCAAGTAGTTGCTCGTAGGTCACTTTTTTACAGTAGCGAGTGAGAGTCCGAACATTTATTCCAAAGTCTAACGCTGTTTTTACGAAAAGATTCTCTTTCAATTTTTATTCTTTTAATCGCTCTAAATATAATTTTATTGGATATATGTCTACCTTATCCGTCTTAAGGAAAGTCTTTCTTTTGTAGTTACGCACCATTATCTATTTATAAAAGAACAATTTGTTATTGAAGTGTGGACACATTGCCCCATCAAAAATAAAACAGATAGCCCCGATCACGTTTTTCAGTTTTTAACATGTTGCCAATTTTAGATAATGCGGAATTAAGATTTGACGCTTCTCATACACCTGATAACTATATATTAATTGATAATATTATGAATTGCTTACTTTAATTTGAGTTAAACTACTGTCGCATAGCAAATTTTTCGACCGTCGAAAAATGTGAATAATTGCTTTCGCTTTTCTTTTAACGTATATAGCGTTGCGAGAGGCATCGCAAGAAAACAAACAACATTTAAATATCTTACGTAGGGCATTTTTGTTACAATGGTAGAGACATCTGTCTCTTAAAACTTGAGATATAGCAGTACTGATGTGGACACGGCCCCCGTAGACAGGTAGCCCCGGTCTCTCCTACGCATATATATTAGTATATATTTTTATATTTTTATACACATATATAAGATAAAATATATTTATTGTTTTCCTAAGAAATTACAAACTTGATACACAGTAAATTTACACTCGCATATCCATCTATAAAGAAAAATATAACGATGGTATACTCGCAATATGCAAACGCAAATATCGTGAGCTCCAACATCTAACAATTTATTCTAAGCAATTAAAAATAAAAACAGAATAATAAATTTCTTTCGCCAGTATAGAATAACAATTAAAGTAATTTAAATCGATTGTGACTGGCAATATATAACGTCTTTCCAATATGAACATTGAAAAACTGTGAGACAACTTGGTTTGTCGGATTCACACAGCACTTTTTCGGATCTATCATCGAGACATTATTAATTTCGACCATGGGTTTTGGTCAGTTGATGTAATTTCTAAATTAAATAGTTTTAAATTTTTATTGCGAAAAAATATTATCCCAGCCAGGGTAAAAATAAAAACGTCCTCATTGCTCTCTATATGCATACCTTATTGCTCATTTTTAATACCACCTCAGTGGTCGATTATAAATTTGTAAAAACGCCTGTCACGGATTTATATATATGTATATTTTTATAATCCTGTAAAACACAATCTCTCCGTTTTCCATCCTTTTTTTTCCCCTCTCTTCTCTATATTCAAAAAAATTATCCTATATGTCAACATTTCGAATGTATTTATAGTTATTGGTTACACTTTTTACAAAACCAACTTTCGCGGCTATTGATCGTATATGTATCGTAACGTATCAAATGAATTGTTTTGGATACAGATATTGCATGCAGCATGTATGTGTACAAGTACCAATTAAGTACTCAGCTAAAATAACATTTTCAGAAGCAATGATTTACGTTCAATGGTTAACACTATAATAGCTAAGAAATATACTTTTTCATTTATCATATAATAAAGTTGTACGATTTAACAATGATGCTCGCAAAGAATAGAAAAATTCGGTGAGTTTTACGAGTGTAAATTGTAAATTCAATCATGCTGAATCATATAATAAATTAACTCTTTTAAATAAAAAACAATTACATAGAAATATAATCTAAATTAATATTTAGAACACCATCTAATAGAAATATTAAGCGCATTTTAGTATTCAACATATTTAGTATCGAATTATTACGAGAACTTTTTGACATAAATTATCTATAGAAAAGAAGAACCGAGAAAGCTGTTCAATCAATTAATCCTCCTAAAGTTACTAATTTAGTCTCGAAAATAATATCATACACACACGTGTAAGTTCTTAATTATAATAAGACTATAAATTATTCTACATTTAACACTGATAACAATTGAAAAAAAACCTTTTATATGAGATAATTGATAGTTTTTTTATTGTGCAAAATAGAAAAGTTTAGTTTCTTCCAAGCAGCTAAAACGATGTTGGTTACGCCATCTGTCAGCTTTCTGTCACATATATTTTAAATAAAGAAAATCAGCAAAAACACGACATGAGAAATGGGGGGGGGGGGTGTCTGTTTTTTATTGCTGAACTGACTGCACCAATTCAAAGTTTATCTTTTTCCTTCCAATGTGTGGAGTAAAAAAGATAAACTCTGAACTAGTGCAGCCAGTTCAGCAATAAAAAACAGACTCACAATTGCACCGGTTGTACAATGACATAAAGTTGTTATAATCGAATTTGGCTAAAAAATAAAAATGCAAAAAGAGTTATGTGTACATCATAACGCAAAGCTGCTAATCCGACAGAATTAATCTGTTCTCGGTCGGTTGCTTGCCATCAACGTGTCGCAGACTTCGAATATCCATATAACTTCTCGATAAACCCTTTCGTCTCCGCGGCGTTGTCTCTCCTCGCACCGACCGAGATCTACTCTATCAACATTTTTAGTCGAAAAAGATGGGAGTCCAGAATGGAGTTATGAAGCTGCCCACCAGATGGTAAAAGGTTTTGAAAAAAAATCAATACATTGTAATAAAGTTTCCTACATATTTAAAAAAAGTTTACTCTTTCTTATTAAAAATGTCGACATTTATACTTTTTGGCTAACTTTATAGATTAGTTAATACTCTTTAGCAGATAAAACACTTCAGGAAAATGGTAATAACAAAAGAAGCATAAAATAATATGAAAATTGTATAAAATTACATGCAGTAGATTTATAAAAATAAATGCATTGTTGGCAAATAGCTAATTTTGTCGGAAAGAAAACTTAATAATGAGTAGGATAGTTTGCAGCAATTAGTAATCGGAATAATAATTAAATAATAATTATAATAAATCAATAATGGTAAAGTAATATCATCAATAATGGTAAAACAAAATAGTCAAAGCAATTAAAATTAATAAATAAACAAATAACATAAAAATAATGTTTTTTA